CTATGTAGAAAAAAATGCATTTTTAAGATGTTTTCTTCTATCATGAGAGCTTTGCAATTATGGTTATTTTGAGCACGTGGCACCTTATGCAGTGAACTCCTTATGCAAAATCCAATGGCAAGCAGCCAGGTGACAATTTTCAGGAGACTATAGACAATGAGCTCTTCCTAGTTTTAGTATCCACCTTGTGCTCTTTAAAAGATGGTGTAACCTACTTTGACTTTAATAATAATCTTCAGTTGTTATTTTTTATGTAAAACTAGAGAAACTAAATTTCTGAAAGCAAATAAAAATTAAAAATAATGTAATTTGAAAAAAACTTGCATTTTTGACTTGTACCTCCCCTTAAATTTGAACTCCTGGGCAGAAAGAGATAGAAAATAAAAGAAAGCGAAAAATAGAGAGAAAGGCAAAAAGGAAGACAGAAGGATTGAGAAATAGAAACGGAAATACAGAGAGAAATAAATAAATAAACGAACAAAGATTGACAGGAAAATGGGTGAGAAAAATTTTTAAATTGAAGTGAAACAAAGAAAACTGACCAACTTCGCACTTTTTTCAGGCTTGGCACTACTTATAGTGAAGTAGAGCCAACATCCTAGTGGTGCAAATGGAGGAGCTTTGCAATGGAGCGGCTGAGGCAGAGTGCCCTTCCTCCCCGGAAGGATCGCGGCTACACCTTTCCCTAGCGCTCAGCTCTCTTTATTTGGGGGGGGGGGGGGGGGGGGGCGTTTAACGCTGCACGAGCTGTGAGGCGATGTGAGTTGGCGTCTCACTGGCGTCTCGAAATACTGTAGTCGCACTGTTGTAGACGCCACTATAGTGAACTTTTGAAAAATATAATTTAAAAAATTTCATTTCACTACAGATGCCACAGAGACGCCAGCGCATATTTATGTCCTTACCAGAAATCTGAGGAAGCACTCATCAACGCACCTTATTTCAGTAATGTCTGTCGCCGTGATACTGTGTAGTTGGAAGGGCTCTGCTATTTGCTAACTCGTGTACTTTTGCATGGTTCCCCAAGAAACTGTAGTGAAAAGTCACTTTGCATGCGTCCTTCTGTGAAGGCGCTCTTTAATAAATGCATGTTAGACCCTTTTAGTTGGCCATTCGCAGCAGCTCTGCGCACGCAGCCTGGAAGCCATCCTAATGGCAGCATAGCGTTAGCATAGCTGTAGCGGATATTCAACTAATACTGTTTACCCCTGACGCGGTGAAAGGTACACTAGCGCATGCAGCAAGGGCGGGAATAGCGAGCGAGTTCTCCACAAGTCCGGGCATAACTTCGTCGTGTATTGACAGCTCCCCACTTCGACACTCAACATTTTACACCACACTGTCTCAAAAAATCTATACCTTAAATAACATTGTGCGAAGATTGAGGAATAACGACGAATTCAGTACTGAATACTTTGCCACACAACAAATGTCGGTAGTGCGAACACCAATTGGGCACAACATGTCACCACTAACACTATAAAATGTCAATGTATTGTTTCTATGAAACATAACTTTTTGTCCTAGTAGAGCCTTGAAACTAAGGATCATCACTGAAATCATTGCCTCAGCACCCACAAGAGGCATAGTAGGCACACTATCCACACACACACGAACTTCATTTTTAAGCATGGATGCTGTTGGAGGTATATCTTTTGGCAGCGCACAGTATCCAACGACCTCACCCCCATCAGCCGCATTGACTAGTTTTCTGGAGGTGGTGATGGGAGGCGACGCCGTTGCGATGGAGAACGTGGAGCATGTGGGGCTGGCGGAGGTGTTAAGCTGCGGTCAGAGGCTGGCAACAGGTTCCTGGAGTTGCCTTGACGAAGTCCACTAGGCGCACTATCCACACACACACGTACTTCATTTTTAAGCATGGATGCTGTTGGAGGTATATCTTTTGGCAGCGCACAGTATCCAACGACCTCACCCCCATCAGCCGCATTGACTAGTTTTCTGGAGGTGGTGATGGGAGGCGACGCCGTTGCGATGGAGAACGTGGAGCATGTGGGGCTGGCGGAGGTGTTAAGCTGCGGTCAGAGGCTGGCAACAGGTTCCTGGAGTTGCCTTGACGAAGTCCACGACTAGCAGGCGAACTGTTTGGCCATGACTTGGTGCCCAGAATTAGTTTGGTTTCGTGCTGGCGGAGCTCTTGTCGGAATAGTCGTCGACGTTTGCAGAACCTGGAGATGTGGCCTGCGAGGCCATAGCTATAGTACACATGAGGAGGAGGCCGAAGTGTGCGATGCGGCTGATACACCTTACTTCTGTCAGCGAGCACTGGATATCTGTCCTGATCAGTGTGATTTCTGCATGCACTCGATATTGAATACTCTGAGTGGAAACGTAGTGTCGGGTGAGTGTAGCGCCGCTGCCACTCGTTGAATTGAAGTCGGCCTGCAGGTTTTGGTGGCTGGGGCACGGCTTGGTAATTGTCCATGCTTGCCGTGTAAACGGATGGTTGCCATGACACCAGTGGTAGTCCGGGCTCATTGCCTTGGGAGTCATCTCCATCAAAGCGACTGATTTCGTGGCAGTGGAGCAGTTCCTCCCATACAATCTGCCGCATCGTTGACGAAAGGTAAAATGGTGGAATAGTGTCGACACTGGCCACCGTCAGTGCATTAGATAGGCGACCAAATTTCAGTGCTATGTGACGCATCTTGAGTGCTTCAAACGTGTGACAGTGTTGCATTACCACAGACACAGATGTCAAGTTCTCTTTGGCAATTAGAAACTCGTAGACATCTTCGACTACTATGCCTTTAACGAGATGTCCCACCTTATCTTCTTCGGACATGCTTGGGTTCACAAGTTTACACAGCTTCAGAATTTCTTCAATGTATATTGTACGTCTTGCTGAAGAGCTGGGCCCATGGGGCAGGGTCTGTTCAGCTCGCTTCTTCGTAATTGAATTCCTGAAGCATTTCTTCAACTCCTCTTTAAATATGGTCCTTGTCGTATGCGCGCCTCCGTGGTTGTCTTACCAAAAGAGAGCAGTATTTTTGACTGAGAGTGCCGCGTATGACGGCTGAGCTGCTGAGTCCCAGTCGCTAAGCTTGCTCTCCCTTTGATACTGCCTTAACCACTCGTGGATGTCCCCAGCGGCAGTCCTGGCAAATTAGAGGGGCTCCTTGTAGAGCTGCAGAGGGGCCGCTGACCTTGGCAGTTTAAGTTCCCGGCAGCATGTTTCCTGTTGAAGCTGGTGGAAGCCCCGCAATGTGACGACTCCGACAAGGGGAAAAGTGGAGTGATTTTATTGTCTGGTGCTCACGTAAGCTACACCTCCACCACTCTGTTACGCGGTTTGTAAGAGAAGTTTATTTACTATGAGCTGCACGGCGAGTGTCAGCCAGTACTGCTTGTCATTCTTCTCCTTCGTCAACCTCTATTGTTGTCGCTGATCATCCTTCACTATAGACGAGACTCACTAACAATGTTAGCTATTTAGCCTAAAAGTACCATACAATAAACTAGGCGGGTCTGCATTTCACGACTTGGTGTAATCTTGGGCATCAAGTGCTGTAGAGCCGCTCTAAAGAATGTGTGCTTAGTGATGTTAGGTGGCAAGGGAGTAGCCCTGTTTAACACTTCAAGGGTTACATGCACAGCAGTGCTTAATAAAGTGTATGGGGCAACAGCTGCTGCTGTAGCTCAGTTAGTGTAACATCGAAGGTATATTTCAGAGGTTGTGGGCTCAATCCCGATCATTGGCAAGCTGTTTTAGTCTGCTTTAATTATTATCCTTTCGTGTACCCTTTAATAAAAAAACAACGGTGCGTGTGGGTCCTTGAAACACTTGAGAACCACTGTATTTGAAAAGCTTGTTTTCAAGGCCTTGAATGTGCTGGAATTTTCACAAATTCTTGATTAAACAATATTTGGAGTCCTACTTCTCAAAACCAAGAGATAATTATCAGAAACACCTTAGTGGCACACTCGGAAAATTTAGGCTATCTAGTATTCTCTAAGATGCACTGACATCACTCACTACACAGGTCTTTATTATTTTCGCCTCTGTCAAAAAGCGACCATCGCAGCTTGGATTGAACCTGTGACCATCGGGTCCACAGCCGAGCTCCATAATAACTATGCCACCATGTTTGACAACAATGTGCATATTTGGAAACTCGCAAAAGGCAGGAGCAAGATGATGAGAAAAAGATATATTGCATAGAGGAGGAAGTCGATAACATTTACAAAAAAGATAATGAAACTAGAAGTTGCTGTTAACAAATTACAGCTACATCAGACTAGTATGCAGGAGAGGCAGACGCAACTGGTGACCTGACGTGCATCATCAAGTTTAACAAAGCCTTTGGAAAACTGCCAACACCAAGCAGCAGGAAATGGGGTACATTGATACGAAAATTCAGGAAAAGCAGCAAGAAGTGGCATATTAAACTGTTTTTTAGTTTGACTTATCTTGTGTTTGCATCTTGTTATACCGAAAGCGATTATTTATGCAACTCTAAAGATGCTATGATTGAAGTTTGTCTAGAAAGATAATGTTATCGGTGCCATGTTTTCGATGTTTGCTCTAGCAATGTTTTCTTTTTTCGATGAATTCTAACTATTTTAAGCCTCCATCCTTCCCTGAAGATGTGTCAATCGGGTTTCTAACAGATATTGTGGTTCTTGAAAATTCACACACATAGTCTTGAAAGTCCCCGAAAACCCTTCAATTTTTGTCATGTAAACGAGCATGAACCCTGAAAAACTGCAAGTAATGTCGTCTATGCTTTTCTTGGCTATATTAGGTTGTGTGTAACAAAGAAAGGGTCTCCTCGATCCATTACACTTTTTTTATGTAAAGCAAGACTATATTTTATTAAGTTTATAGTGCACGGTTTGTTCTGCCATGCTTATAGATGCAAAGTTTGGTAAGTGTTGTGTTAAGTGTATCATTTGTAAAATGTGGCGCTGCTGGTTGAATGTGCTCTTATTGCAAAAGGTCGAGAGTGGTGCTTGGATGTTTCCTTGACAGTGTATGTCAGATGAAATCCATGATGGCATGAACTTGGAGCTCTATTACCAGTGAGAAGACAATGGTCATCTCCATTGGACCATTGTGCAGTGTTTCTGTTTTTTTATGTCAACAGTGTTTGTCGTGCATCTTCATTGATTGAATGAAATAATCAGCAAATGAAAAGGAAATAAACATCTTTTACTGCATGAATGGTTTCCTTATTGTGACTTCATTTACTGACCACAGGGAAAGTGTACTTAAGGCCTCAGGAGGAATAACCCTAACTAAGCATAATGTCGGGTACAACTGTTTATTAGCCCCAGCAAGTCAACTGCCTTGAAGTTTTTTATAAGGTGGGCCTTCTGAGACATGTTGCAGGAGACATTTACAGGATGGTGCTTTTATAAATGCTACCAGGCTGTAGGTGTTGCAAACACTACACAGTCTCCAGCATTGCCATGATGGCCGAAGCCACATGCCATACACTGGTATCACGATTGGCCAACTCTGTGTGCTATTCTGGACTCCGTGAAGTTCTGCCATGTCGTCATTCTGTATTGGTTGCATTTTCAGCCAATCTGAGAGGCCATAGCGGCCCTCTGGGCCAACCAGAGCGAAAACACCGTAGAATTCGACAGTGCCAAGCTCTCCATGCAACCAGCTTTGATTGCGCTTTCTCTGGGAGTGACCCAGTAGTTTACCTTGCCCGATAGCCTTTAAGTAATACATAGAGGTGTAGGGTAGCATAGTAAATACAAACCTTTCGTGCTTTAAAACCAATAGGATCTTGTATCAAGAGTTTCTTCAACCTAAAATGGTGCGCAAATTTAACCTTCAATTAGGAAGAAATAATGACAGAAACTTTTGTTTTGCTCATTGCAAGTAGCTATTTTTACACAAGATGTTTTCAAATTTTTTATTAATCTTACGAGTGTGGCAAGTAGTACAAAAGAGAAGTTGTATAGCAAAACTTGCAGAAAAATGGTTTACTAAATCTGAAGACTTACTGTTAAGCAGAATGCTATGTTTTTTGTGTTGTGCTTGCAGTCACCGAAATTTGTCACTTGAGAGCGATCTTGCAAGGTAGAGCTACATGTAAACAATAGGGTACATTGTGCATTTGCATTCTTATCTTAAAAGTGGGATGACCCTGTGTTATAATAATTTCTAATGAAAATTCTTGTTTTCTTATTGTAACCGGCATCTACACTTGGAGATGGCTATAGTTACTTTACAAGTTGAGGCCAAACCCACCAGATAGAAGGGCCTGCACTTAAGTGTCGTGTGCCTTTTTATGTTCAAATACTGACCCTTATGTATGCTCAGGCACTCTCTACAGTGAAACTAGGTGTCACCATTGAAAATATTTTTTATTTATTTTTCAATGAGTAACCCCAGAAGATGCCAACATCTTTGACTGCCTAGTACCAATCAGGAACGGGCTCTGATGTCCTATACTTGATTCCGATCAGGGCAAAGTAGAAAAATGCAACCCTCGCCTTCTCTATTTAGTTTAGACTCTCATTAAAAATGTCCTCCATGCAGATACCTATGATACTATGATGCCCAATAAATGACCTTGCAGCACAATTTCATTGCCTTGCATTTTCTTATCTTGGTTTTCGTTCTGGAGCACAAAACTGTGTGTGAAAATAAATTTATGCAAAGTTCTCATGCATAGCCAGTCCAGTATTTTAATGACCATTTAGGGTTAAGGAAAGCATAGTGCACCCTCAGATTTTATAAGGGACTTGTGACTGGGTGTAAGAGAACATTTATGAAACTGCACGCCTCGTGTTCCATGCTGCTAGTGGCAGCAGCGCTGGAGTTGTCGCCAAGGAGGTTAAAGCCAAATTTGCTGGAGTGGAAGAGGCGTTCCTCAGGTGAAGCCATGTGCTGCCATCTTGCCAGAAAGCGGGCCTTCTGCAATGCCAGTCGCTGCGGCCACACACAAGTTTCAGATGTTCTCTGGCACTGTGGCATCCAGACATAATGGATACATCGTGCTTTGCTCGAGGGTACATAAATAAAGTGAAAAGGTGCTGTGGGATAAAGTTTCAGTTGTGACTACCACATTTCAAGCTTGATGAAAACTTCTTTGTGTGCCGGAACACATGTTGACAGCTCGCACCGTGTCTTCACATCTCATGGTCATTTTTTTTTCCCGACAGATTTCTTAAGGACCCAAATATTCGAAGCAAGTCGGGGTGTGCAATTGAATATTTGAGTCCATAAGATGACGGGAAGACTGAAAGTTAAAAGATTACAATAGCATATGTTAGAGACACTCCTGGCAGAATTGTTCTGACTGGACTGGACTGCAAACCGCAAGTTGTTTTCTAGGCTCAACGCATTTCTAAAACACCTGTGAAACCCAGTGATACACATCCTTTTGCTTGATACCACTGGAGTAGTGTGCAAATAGGAAAAGGATGCACCATTAACTATTTATTGAAATTAAATTAACAACTCCCTAGATTTCATTATCAGTTCTTTGTGTTAATAGAAGGGGTAACTCAACTTCGAGGTCAAGTAACGTCATTTGGGCAACACCCAGTGACCTGTATTTTTTCACATACGTGCCTTTTATTTCGTTATTTGTAGTGCAGCAGTATTTGGTCTGAACTGTGCAATGCTCATTCAAGCTGTAAAGAAAGTGACCATTACCAAGGCCCGGAGTGCTCCTCCCGGTATATGAATTCGACTCGAAAAAGCTTGTTGAAGATGTGATGGTTGCTTCATCCCAAACGGCAGGTTTTATTTTTAAAAATGCCTCATTTTTCCGAAGGGGAAATAAAAAAGCTTCAGAACAAAATTCTACCGCATAGCAATTGCAGACTGAAACAAATCAGCAGGGCTTTATCATGAAGCTATAATAAAGAAGATCAAGAGTAAAAAGCTCATGTATGAGGAAGGGAGGGGGATGTTATTCAGTGCAGTCTTCCCTCTTAGACTCGGCAACTCCTCCACAGTGCACGAAAACGCCTGAAAGGCACATATCCTTCAGAGCTGCAAGCGTTTGCGGTTACACTGCACTTCTATTCTCCATCAGCTTGTGAGTAGGTACGCTCGAAGTTTAATATTGAGCTCATATCATCAGAGCACACGATATGAGAACAGCATACAATTCTATGAAAGGAAAGGCTGGATTCACAGTTTAGTCACTGCCTCCAAAAAGCTCCATACTGTACGTTGATCGCTGGTCACAAATGAGGAAACACGTTGAGATTGTGGGCGACTACCGTAGTTCGATATGTGAACTTTGGGTCTAGAATGCATGATGACTGATTGCATGTGCAAATGCTCATTGACTACAACTTAAGCTGCCACTCGAAAGTTTTTTAATTGAATCATTGACAGGAGCAGAGGGCGCAACAAAATAGGATTGAAAAGCTGTGTAGATGCTATTGAAATAATGTCAACTGTGGGCTGAATATCCGTACTTTAAAGGACGTCCAAGCAGAACCAACACTACACGTTCTGAAAGTTATGAGCTTGTCTTGAGAAAGGAAATCGCTTTCCAGGAAAGCCTTGATAAACATATCCTTCCTGATGAGCATGTGCTTTTGTGTGATGCTCTGAACACTCACATTTATGTTTCATGCAAAAAAAAAAAAACTAAGCGATCTTCACGTGGGTGCACATATATAAGATTCTGCCTCATGAAGAAAAATAAACCGGAAAATGAGTGCCGAGAAAGTGAGGTCTGCTCTCACGAGTGTGCTCCTTTTTAAAAACCAGCGTTACATACCCTTCGTCGACGTTCATGCTTGAAAGAAAAATTCAATAAAAAACAGTGAAAGCCCACTGTGTTCTTATCTGCCATTTGAGTTCTTATTCTTGACAACTTACCCCTCAAGGCGCGCCCGCCATAACCGTTGAAGACCATGGCGGGGAGACGGGGCGGGCGAGCTTTGAACATGCGAGTTTTACCGTACCAAAACCACCATTATGAAACACGTTGTAGAGGAGGGCTGAAATTTCGGCCACCTGTGTTTCTTTAACGTGCACTAAGTGGTTCTTAAGAGAGAAAGGAAGAGAAAAGTGAGCCCCGTAACTGTCTGCTTCAGCGAGCGACACCTCAACATTAGCTCACAAGGGATGGGGGTGAGAAGGGATTAAAAGAGTGGGAGTAAAGGTGTAGCACCCAAAGCTGATCACACGGGCCTACAGTATTGTCGCCTCCATCGAAAAGGTGGGCGAGCTTTGGCACCCGGCCGCCGGCGCCGCTTCATTGCGCTCCATCGGAATATATAGGCGGCCCCCGCTCCGGCAAGGTTTATTTAAACCTCCTTGGTTGTCGCAAAGCGCGGAATAGGCAGCTTTAGACCATAAGCATGCGCAGTTTTACGTTAGCGTGTCGTGCCGCTGCGCATATGCCTGGTACGCACGCCAACCTCTTCTGGGCTCCCGGCCGGCCGTTAAGTGACGGAAATAGCGGGTGACCGCAACAAACTTAGCGTATGCTATTCTAAAACGCTCAAAAAATGGCAGTTTTTTAATAGGGGCTTCGGACGTGTTAAACCCCGACTCCCTTTGCGTACGCAGGCTCTAGGTCAGACAGGAGCGAAGAGTTTTCGAATAGGATCTCTTGGCCGGGAGCCTTTACTTCAGTCGGTGCCGTCACGTTTGTCTGACGCAAAGCTTTTGGGGGAAGCTTTGGGGCTCCCGTCAAATTCGGGAAATAGCACCCCCCACGCAAAACTCGTGTCAGAGACTCGCGCATGCGTGGTGGCCTCGACGCTATATATATATATATATATATAGCGTCTATATTATATATATATATATATATATATATATATATATATATATATATATATATATATATATATATATATATATATATATATATATATATATATATATATATATATATATATATATATATATATATATATATATATATATATATATATAGCGTCTATATTAATCTATATATATATATATATATATATATATATATATATATATATATATATTGGAGGGGGGTCCTATTTTCAATCAAAGCATGTCGTTGTTTATCGCCACTTCGCATGCGTCCCACGCTATCCTCATGCGAGTACTCTATCCTCATACGCTATCATCGTGCAGCCCTTACAGCACACGGGTGCTGAAGCTGCAGCGAGGCGCTGCGTGCGTGTAGCAAGTAAATTGGTGCATTGCCCATGTGTTCTACTTCACTATACTTGTGTTATCGTGACGATCATGGTGAATACGCAATATGCAACGCGCGATAGCGGTCGCATGGAAATATATCGCAAACTCATTCTCGCCACCAACGTTACTAGACCTAGTAACGTTGCTCGTCACAGTAATTTGCACAATACCGAGAGAGAGAGAAGTAAACGTTTATTTTGAAACAGTGCCCCGAGCAATGCCCGGTGTCACCCTGAGGTGGGAGGGCTCCTTAGGAACCCCCTGGCTTGTACTGCCCTCTTGGCTCTGGCGACGAGTTGTTGCTCTTCCAGGTCCTCGAGGGCGAGCTTCGCCTCCCACGTTTCGGTTAGGTCTGCGTTCGTCCGTCCTGCTTCATCATCAGTCGTGTGTTGTTGCAGATTACGTCTGGCAATACACTGGCATGCAAGAAGCAAGTGCACCAGGGTGTCCGGTACGTTGCAAAGCGGGCACATAGAGCTATATCTCGTTGGGTAGAGACGGTGCATTAGGGCCCCATGTGTGTATGTGCTGCTTTGCAGGCGTCTCAGTATTACGCTTTCCTTTTTTGTCAGTTTTGGGTGTGGTGGAGGGTATACTCGTCGCTCCAGCCTGTAATGCTGGAGTAACGATGAGTAGGTATTTTGAACAACTTCCGTCTCTTCAACGACGGGTCGAATGTCCTGTGGGCAGGGGGCAGCCCGGCTGACGTGCTCGCGGGCAGCGGCGTGGGCCGCTTCATTTCCCTGCAGACCCTCGTGTCCTGGCACCCATAATACACAAGTGTATGGGAGTGGAGTGCTTCGCCATTTCAAAATATTGATGGCATTGGCTGAGATACGGCCCTTAGTAAAATTCCTGCAGGCGGCTTGTGAGTCGGTGAAAATCACCGCGGCGTCTGTACATGTTGTGGTTGCTAGAGCGATTGCCGATTCTTCTGCGGCGTCTGAATTTAGTGCGTCGACCGTGGCCGACGCTAATTCTCGGCCTTGAGAATCGACGACGCTGACAGCGTACGCGTTTCTATGCGGATACTTGGCCGCGTCAGTGTAGCGGGCGTCCGGGTCTTGCTTGAACTTTCGTCGTGCACAATACCGAAACCGAAAGTGCATGTAGTTACTTTATTCGTCCCTTGATGGCAGCACCCATCCGCTCTGCTCCACTCTTGCTCGATTTGACCCCGTTGTTTTGTGTTATCGACGGTCAGCTGTATTTCTCGACTAAAAATAACGTCGCGTTTGGTTCACCAGTTAAGCACACACTGCAACTACTGACTGACCGAACATGGCCAGCCAAGCATGCTACGTGCATTCGCCGAGCCTACATCGAATCTTCATTAGGATGCGCTGCACATCCTAAGGTATATTGCTGCGCAGTTTTGGCGCTCTGGCTGCACCCGCTGCTTGCACTTCCCTGCAACGTTACCCACCACAAAAGTGTTGTGTTGCCCTGACACGTGGAAATTTAGTGCGCGAATTGTTTTGCAACGCTTTCCTAGAAGTTATGTGGCTGGTCATGCGCGGTACCTTGAGAATGAATGCACCCAACGCTGCCGTGTCTCTCCTTGTTTTCCTCGTACGTAGCGGAAATATCAACGTGTGCTTGAGCTTGAAGTAACCGAGTTTACCACCGTTCGTTATTGCTCATTTGCGAAGCGTCACATTACGCTACGTCCCCTGTGACCTGCGCAACGGTGCAATAAATGAGAATGATGAGCTTACCACCTGTACCTGTGGTTTTAGCCTATATCTTGACTCATCACAATCACCATATCCATGCATGTAATTTATCACAACCATGCTGTCACCCAAAGCCATGCATTTGTACGTTTTTTGCATCGTTCGAAAAGCACACTGCGAAATTAATGGCACGAATTGTCCCTCCAAATTGCTACTGGGGTTGATGATTGAATGATATGTGGGGTTTAACGTCCCAAAACCACCATATAATTGTGACAGACACCGTAGTGGAGGGCTCCGGAAATTTCGACCACCTGGGGGTCTTTAACGTGCACCCAAATCACCAACACGTGCACAATAACGTGCACAATACACCAACACAAACATGAGATGTATGTCCTTGTGTTACCCGAAGTACACCCCTGTGTCTGTGTTCGCCATGCAATGGATGCAGCTGCATGCAAAAAGGAAGGCCTGAAAAGACCGTGTCAGAGAGAACCTCACCTTGCAACTGTTAAAAAAAAGCACAAAGATATAAAAGCTGAAATAATTTTGTCAACAAGAACAAAAGCAACATTTGACCCCGTTTACAAAGGCTAAGCGTCTGAAAATATCTATGCCGTTCTTCATTATGAATACACCCGGCCGAAACACTTATCTCGTACGGTCCTGCAGGCTTCGTTAGTATGACCTAAGTCACGATTGGCGGGCATTTTCTAGAACAAGAACTAATTTTTTGAAGTCTACATTTGTTTACACCATACTGCAGACCACGTGACTCAGAAAGGAAGGGCAAAGTATAATATAAAATAAGATACAAGACACAATTGCAAATATGAAACGAAGACACAACTCGAAAATTAAAATATTTCTTACGAAATAGAACTTAGCTCTGAAATAACTCAATAACTCAGGTGAGTGCAGATGATGTGTTCCACTCCTGGATAGTTCGGGGGAAGCAAGAAAATGTAAAGAGTTAGTCCCGGTAACATAAGGGGGGGGGGGGGAGTGTGAGGGAGTGGGAATCACGGGTTTTACCAGGTTTTCGTGATTTCAGAGAATGTTATGTAAGATCTGCGATATATATAAAATTTACGATTTCATAAGAGATAAAGGAACTTCGGTCGTGATATTCTTCGCCTCATTTCGACAGCCAGAGAGCCATTAGAGCGTAAAAGTTCATTTAAAGAATCAACTCGGCCGCATTGTGCAGGAAAATGAAACGTATGACTTTTGTCTGCATCCTGTTCAGGGCCTCAAGGCTAGTTTTGGGGAAGGGGTGCCTCCCAAAAACGGACCCGTATTCAAAGTTGGGTCTAGTAAAATTGGTATATTCTAAGGTTTTAACTTTACGGCATGCTTGCATGCTTTAGCTTATGGTTCAGTCGGCATAATTTTCTAAAAGTTGATAAGGTGGTCTTAGAAAAGTGTGCGTGGTTGTTGGTAATTGCAACCCCAAGATACTTGTACTCGTTAACGTCAGTAAAGAGGTCTTGGCCAATGGAGTACGAACAATTCAGGGGTGCTGTTTTGCTTGTTATAAGCAGGAACACTGAATTCGGAGAGCTTGGTTTCATGCCCCATTTATTGCTCCACTTAAAAATGTTGCTAAAGTGTAGCACAGCACTGCGCAACGAGAACAGTGTCAGGGACTTTGCTGGTCACATATGAACATCTAAATAGCTGCGTATCCGCGAAGATTTTCGTTCATAAATGGTAATTATTTACCGTGTGCCGGTTACCAGTTCGCCATATACTCTAGTATCGGGATTGGCTGTTGCTTTCTTTCTTTCTTCTTCTTTTTTTGGCGTCTTTCGAACAATCCCAGCGTAAGCGCTTTCTAATTTTTGTTGCTGTTTTGCGAATACGGCCCCGACATTCATCAAAGCCACAGCGTAAAGGTTTTCCATCGTAATGTGCGTCCGCCATGACCAGGAATCCGACGACACGACTGTGTTCCCTGCCGCAGTCGTGTGCCGGCATATAGCGCTAGTACACTGGATTTGTTCGCAAGATTTCACAAATCTGATGGAGGCGATTATATATATATATATATATATATATATATATATATATATATATATATATATATATATATATATATATATATATATATATATATATATATATATGGCCATTGGCCGTGTTTCGGAAGATAGGCGGTCGTATCTATATTACTCGAACCTTTGAGCTTTGATGTGAGCAGAAAGAGTACACCCCGAAAAAAAAAAGTTCATGCAGCCTATCCTGACGCTGGCTTTATCATCGAAAGCGGAAGGCACTTATACACGAACATACATAATGTATGGTTGAACCAGCCCCTCTCCTTATACGAAAAAAAAAAAAAATGTGCCAACCATACTTTTAAATTTCGCGCACTCTAAAAAAAAAGCTGGATAAATAATAAACCGGCCAGTTATCTTAGTATTGATGGAATAACCCGTAGTTGCTGAACAAGCGTTGCAACTGTTCCATTCAATATTTTTCGTTAGGTTTACTATTTCAAAGGTGAGTTGCGCAATCTTCATTCATTGCCCAGCTTATTATATAGGCAGTTATCATGGCATGGATGAAACATTCCGACCTTTCAGAATAAGTGGTACTGTTTTAGAATCGAAGATTTTTTTTTTTTCGCTGGGATTACTGATTACAGTTAATGAAATATTTTAAAAATTACCTTGCTTGGAGGATTGGCACGAATATAATGACGTGCGGCTGAAGGCGATACCGGGCCGATGCGACACGCGTAGCGTATGCGTTAGTTTTTGTAATAGTATGCGCCAGTTATCTGAAACACCCCGTACATCCATACACACATACGAATACACATTCGCAGATGCGTAAGTGATACGTCTGGCTCCAGGAATGGCTGCCAGAATTCGTTCTCACGAGTGGCCGTAGCAGTGAGAGTGTTTTGTGAATACGGGCCCTTATCTCCAGCCTCGAGAAGACCTGCGACTGGAGGAGCCGGCACACGTCCCCACGGCGGATACTGTCCTGCCACGCACAAGCCAAGGACGGAGTGCGCACATGTAAGCGGTAATTTAGTATGCATACCTTGCTGCGCGATTTCATATGGGGAATTTTTTCGATTTCATAGAGTTTTAAAAGTGTTTTTTCGTGTCTTTCCTCTGTCTTTCTCTCTCTTTCCATTTTTTTCGAGTGATCATCAACTGATGGCGTGCAATCGGAGGCAATAAAAAGTACTCAAACACACACACACACACACACACACACGCACACACGCACACACACACACACACACACACACACACACACACACACACACACACACACACACACACACACACGCACGCACGCACACACACATGGATAGTTTTTTTATAATGCTAGGTGCAAGTTAACTGAAAAACCTTGCACATGCATACACACGTACGAAGTGTTGAAGCTACTTTTGTTTGATGTATCCGCTAATTTTCCTGTGAACCGGCATCAAAGTATTGTCGTGTTCGAAAATAGTTTTATATGTAGAGGATAATTTGATTTGCCCAAGTTCAATGTAATTGTATTTGACATTATGTCAAAGGTGCTCCACGAATCAATATATTGAAAGCGAAAAACTGATATGACACACAAAGTTTAATACGAAACCGCATCAGTGTGGGGCTATAATGAGCGAAATTGGAATCCCCATAGGGCCGAGAAAGCAGCCTGGAAAAGTATTGAGATAACAGCTACAGTGTTTTTGCAATACGCTATAAATAAAGTGTTGTCCTGATATTGTCTGCATTTATTATACTTTTAGACAATGGAGATTCAGTATATCTTAAATTTGCAATTTATACTAAGGAACGACTCGTACGTTGCTCACACCGGTTACATGATATCAGCACGTGGCCATTCTCTCAAAAGGCAAAGTAGCAGGTAACTACGACTGGTATACATACAATTATAGTGGCGGTACATAGTATGTCCTTAACCTTAAGATACAAGAAGAGAGCAGAGTGGATTAGGGGATAAACGGGGGTTAAGGATATCATAGTTGAAATAAAGAAGAGGAAATGGACATGGGCCGGGCATGTAGCGCGTAGAGACGATAACCGCTGGTCATTAAGGGTCACTAACTGGATTCCCAGAGAAGGGAAGCGGGTTAGGGGGAGACAGAAGGTTAGGTGGGCAGATGAGATTAAGAAGTTTGCGGGTATAAATTGGCAGCAGCAAGCACAGGACCGGGTTAACTGGCGGAACATGGGAGAGACCTTTGTCCTGCAGTAGACGTAGTCAGGCTGATGATGATGATGATGATGATGATGATGATGATGATGATGATGATGACATAGTATGTCTGGTTGCTTAACGCACTTGCATAACAAGACGGAAATGTTGAAGGTCGACATATTCGAGAGAGTTGGGCAGCAGACGGTGAACTAGAGCAAAGTGGGTAGTTGATATTTCATCACGAGAGTGATTAGTGACTGCAGACAGCGCAAGGGATGACGTGGAACAACGAGACAGACGAAGACGAGCGCTGACATCCAGCTTAAGTTTATTGGGAAGAACAAGCAATTTATTAAAAACGACAGCGCGCGATAAAAACCACAGCATGGGATAGAAAACGCCGCCTTCCGAAATACAAAGCTGGCATAAGCAATCACTTCAATCTTGAAAAAAAAAAAAATCGGCAGATTCCACGTATCTGGGAATCGACGTTATGCGAAGCATGCGGAGGGATGCATACCCTGTTACATTTTTTTTATTGAGTGACGCAATAAATATTACCACAAATATATATGTACAAATGTTGCACGCACATACATAGGTTGAAAAGTTGGAAATGTTGATATAACCAGCTGTTTGCACTTGCGCAACGATGGCAACTGGAACATGCGTATTAGCAACACCAGAAGCTGATATGAAGCGCTGATGCTCGCGAGGATGCTGGTCCTGGGCACTGCTACATAAATCAACTTCAGTGCATGGCACCTAACCACAATTCACGTTAACCCGACGTGGCGGCTGTATCAAAGGAGTACATAGGTAATGTTTGTAAATTGTGTAGGCAGCGCTGCAATTACTATTGACGTTCCACAAAGATTACCGTCTATTTGAAAAGTAGTTCCGAGACCTCGCGTAGCTCTGTGGTAGAATGCTTCATTACCATGCAGAATTCCTCAGTTCGATTGGAGCTGGAACCCTGCATTTATCCTATGCCTTTTTTTGGGTCTACGCTACCGATGCATCGTATTGCTTAACGCTCACGCGTTAAAATTGCCCATGTGTGTTCTCGTCGTTCCTGGGTAGATACTAAGTGTTAATCACCTGTGGCACATACCCGCATACCAGCGGCACATACCTGCACGTGGGTATGTGCTACTGTCTGGCGGGAAGTGTTTGACGACATACGCGATGAAATTGTGACATTATCGATGTCTTAACCAACGCATCATATTCTTCAAACCCTCCCATGCTATAATATTAATTCACGCCAAGTTTGGGGGTTAACCACGAGAGCACCCACTCGTAAGCGGATAGATAGATAGATAGATAGATAGATAGATAGATAGATAGATAGATAGATAGATAGATAGATAGATAGATAGATAGGTAGATAGATAGATACGCTCAAATTCGCGGTAGTTCGCTAAGACAGGCTTCGCATTTAAAAATTACACAATTTTCCGCTAAAGGGAATCATGTTCAGATGCGAAGCAATGGGGGCTAATGGTTACAGTGGTGGCGGCGTTGACGCTGGCGCTCATCGTGGCTTTACGCAGAAGAGAAACTTGGGGAGGCGAAAAGCATGCAGTGATAGACCGGTGTTTCCAACTGGAACATGTCAAACGCTGCTAATGGGCAATGAGAGACAGAAGACTCCGATTAGACACAGAGACGCGCAGTCGGCATTTAGTAAACGCACACGCTGCGAATTTTTATAGTTAAACAACGCACTGGCGAAATTTCCCACCGGCACTGCTTTGTACATCAAAATGGAGTTATTGGCTGCGAGATCGAGCAGAGTCGCCACCTGGCAGCAACTAGCCGAAATGGCGAAGTGTGGATTGCTCCCTGCGTCGTCTGCTAGCCACGTCGTGCACGTTCGCTAAGGGTGGTTTGTTCGGATATGTTAGCGGGAGCTTAACTGCTTGTACGTATGCCTGGAACGACACCTGAAAGCACTTGGTCTTGCTCGGCTGGTAATGCACTGCAATAAGATCAGTGATGTTCAACTTTCCAGAGTGCTCGTATTGTCACCGTACCCTTCATTTACAAGAGCCATTTCTATGTGGGTGCCACTTTCTGCTTCAAACACATCGTAAAATGCACTTGGGAACGTCTCAAACATGATGTCTGATAAATGGGGAGTCAATGCAGCGTTAGAGTGATTTGGTTGTACACAAAAACAATGCTCAAGGCCACGCACGTGCACCTTGTTGTTATATAGGTTTAGAACTACGGCACTGTATATAGTTCATCGACTATTAGATGAGATTTAGTTATGTTTATCTGGCCATGGGACTACTACAATGGTATCATGTGAATCATGTAAAGCGTGACACCTCGGTACTTCAACTCTTACCAACCCTTTCAGACGCCAATTATTAAGAACTGTCTGTACATGTGTCAAATCACTACAAAGTCACCTCAAGGCACTCTATATTCTCTTGCAATAAGAATAATAAGATAATTGTTGAATTTATGTTTGTTATAGTAACTCGTTTTAAATAAGTTGCAATGAAATGTCTGTTTATCGTGATGCCATTGATGCTTACTTTTGGCATAAACAGAATCTTATGTCATACTAGAAATATCGTGCAAATTTATTTTTTTGTTATGTCCATTGTCAGAGAGGAAAATTTCTGCTTTTCACATTGCTTGCAGAAAGTGGCATGTCGAACGATTCGTCGAACGAGGTAAGGCTTTCAGAAAAGTGATCATATGTACCAGTACACTGCAAAATTAAGTTTAAAGAAGACAAATATATTATACAGGATGTTCATTTTATGCAATGTAGGATATATCTTGCTGTTTCGTAGTGTCTACTTGATGCAAATAACAAAGACAAGCGGTTACGTAATTGTATACACAGCGGCTAAAAAGGTTAAAACGGAGTTGTCGATTGCCATGTATGAACTTGGGGCGAAATTTACTCTCTGAAATTTTCACAAAACTACCTCTGTACTTATATTTAAAGACCACAGATGTCCAAAATTATTTCAGACGGCGTGCCTTACATTACTTTTGTACAATTTCACGGAAAATGTCATTTTTTACACTGTATTGAGCGTTGGGGTGGCCTTGTTATTGATTGACGGAAGGTAGTGGTAATTTTTTATTTAAAAAAAAGAAAATATGTTTTTCCCATGAAATAAGCAGACATTTGTTTTATCATTGTCATATGACGATCCACGGTGGTCAACTGGCTAAGGTACTCGGCTGCTGACCCGAAGGTCGCGAGATGGAATCCCGTCTGCGGCGGCTGCTTTTTCGATGGAGGCGAAAATGCTGTAGGCCCGTGTGCTCAGATTTGGGTGCACGTTGAAGAACCCCAGGTGGTCGAAATTTCCGGAACCCTCCACTACGGTGTCTCTTCATCATATGGTGGTTTTGGGACGTTAAACACCACAAATCAATCAAGTCAATCAATCATTTCTCGCTTCCTGTGCATTGAACTGTTTTATTACACCTACTCGAATGTCCTGTTGACAGTCTTCTTTCGTTTGCATATACCGAAGATGGAGATACATGCGTGTTCACTTTCTCACTGTATACAACGAAAGGCAAAGCCGATGCCTCCGAGATAGCTCCGGTAATCGCGGAGATCAACGGTGAAAAAAAAAAAAAAAAAAAAAAAAACTTATTGGGGTCGCGATCATTTTGCGATTGACCCGTATCACGCACGTGTTCGCATTTCTTGGTTAACAGGAGGACTTAGAACCTCCAAAGCTGCGTAATGCTGTGTCGTGGCGACAACTTGAGATTATCGGTGGTCGTGGCGTGTTTGGTGTTTATCGTGGCCGGGCGTCAGCTGTCTACTGTATCACGTCACGCACCGCAGTCAAAAGGTCTGATC